GGGAGAGGCGTGTCTCAGAGTCACTTTTCATGTCCTGTTGCGCCGCTTTACAATTTGGCGTAGACAGTGAATGTGAATTTTGCAATCACTGATAGTATGATTAACGATTTAACCCTCGGGGTAGGCTTTTTTCCCGTTGACTTTACGCATCCTAAATGTTGTGGTGGGAACTGAATCCCTCAAAACTTAGTCCTGGTTTTGTTTCAAGTTTTATGACACAAGCATAATACCCCTTGAAAATACCTCCTGGTGGTATTTGGACACGTCTTGAGTGATGAACCCGGGGTCATCACACAGCCTCACCTGGGTGACCCAGCCGGGGGTGATCAGCCCGCGCCTGGTGTCCAAGTGGTGCCGCTACGCCACGGTTCCCTCCTCTGGATCCACAGCCACCGTGAGGCCTTTTTTGCTGCTTCCAGGATGTCCTTGGTGTCCCTTCTGCATTGCAGTCCTGAACCGATTATGGTGGGACTCATGGTATGGAGTCTCTGGTCGATGTTGCCTCTAGAATTTTGTCTATACTCTCATCCAGCTGAAGCCACTCCATCCTATTAGCGGCAGGCTACTTAACCGGCCCCTGTTCCGACTTCCTGCTTTGTGGAGGGACTTGTGGAGGTTCCAGGCACTGTGTGGTGACTCTGGGCCTGGCTCCTCCATCTTCTGGTGCTACTTGGACACGTCTTCACTGATGAACCCAGTTTGTATTTTTTATAACATAAAACCCTAGAAATTTTGTAATATGAAGCAGCTGTATTCGGCCACATACTGCTGTCTCAATATATTAAGTACAACCCACTCTCATATTTTTTCCACGTTATATTTTATGGTTCAAAAGATCATTCAAGCATGTGCTTTGTAACCTTACAGTGCCTCTCAGAACTGACCTGCTTAGCTTTTCAGGGAATGTCACTGAGTAGCTTGGTATAGATTTTGAATTTCAGCAGGACAAGGTCACTGTGTGGAAATTACCTGCAGGAAAATCACGCTGCATTGTGCTGACATGTGACTGCGGTTGATGATGACTTGGCCTGACTGTCTGTGTTTATAGGAATAATGGCTGGTTCTCCGTGTCCTGCTGAAGTCATGAAGAAAGCCATGAACGTCATGGATATCAAGGAACTGGTGGTGAGCAAGAAAATAACTTTGCCCTTGTAGGGAGGGAATTTGGCAGTTTTGTTGTTCTGTTTAGTTATGGGATGCGTATAATTCCTTTTGTTATTACAGTGTATTCTACGCTATTCTTATTCATGTTTAATAGCATAATAAAGAGACATGATGTGTGTAACAGGGTCAGACCAGGGGCAGTGACATGCCTGTCATTTTCAAACAGTTCTTAAACCCCCCCCCCCCCCCCCATTTCCTGCCAAAGGCTATTGGAGCAACTTATTCCTCCATTTAGGTTGTAACTGAGACAACAAGAGTAAACAACCCAGAGAGAGAGGCGTACACTTTATGCTAAAGACAATGGACTAAGGATCGTTTCCCAGTCTTTTGATAAATTTTGTCAGTAGATAATGGAGTAATCATAACCTAAAGGATTATGGTTGAAAATTATACCTGCTTATGGTCCCTCTTAGCAATTTCTCTCAGAGTGCCATAACCGTAATATACATAATTTAATCCTTCATAGAGTAAAAATTTGCTCTGTGAAGTAATATGAGAGGCACAACAGAGGGTTTATGTTATTATTTGATAGAGTCCAAAGGTTTCACAAACGTCAGAAGGTCCTCAAGCAGTTCAGCAGGCCACTACAGTTAAACCATAGCCTGATGCATGACCTCTGTTAGCTGAAGTGATAACATCAGATCTGCAAAAACCCTCAACATATCCAAAACATAACCGATTGAAATGCGGGGTGTTACACAGATACACATAGGGTGTCTTCCAGTCCTGATGGCATCTGGTCCTTCTAGATGAATATAATTCCCCAATATCAACCTATGAAACATTTTATTAGGCAGACAAACGGATGTCTACTTGAATCCCTTTGGTCTTGTGTCCCCTCCAGTCCAAAATGAAGGTCAAGGAACAGGAAGGTCTGACCTGTCCAGCAGAGGGCAGTGTTGAGTCAATAGTTGAACAACTCACAATTTAAAGTGACAGACCCGATATTTTTAAAAAGTTAATGAAGAACTTGAGCAACCTTACAAGGTTTATTCATTAATCTTTGATGAACCTGAAATGATGTTTGTGGCAGCAATACAGTGTGTGCACATGTGGTGACATATCACTCCTCATTGTGTGCGTGGCAGATTGCCTACGGCACCACAGAGAACAGCCCTGTGACCTTCATTGGCTTTCCCCGGGACAACATAGAGCTGAAGACTGAGACCGTCGGCTGTGTTGCGCCACATACAGAGGTATGACCAGCTGTGTCTCTTTATCAATTTCCAGTTCAGCCTGCAAAGGATTGTGGGTGTTTTTTTTATTATCAGGCTAGAGTAGTAAGGTCAGGCTGCTTTGACTCCCAGAAGAGCTGCTGATTAGGGGTTACTGTGTGATGCTGGAATTGCCTGCAATGCTGTCAGTGCAAAGGATTGTGGGTGTTTTTCGTTTTATTAGGCCAAAATCATAAACCCCGTGTCTGGGGAGGTCGTACGTCTTGGAGAACCAGGAGAACTGCTGGTAAGGGGCTATTGTGTGATGCTGGAATACTACAACGACGATGCGAAAACGCAGGAGGCCATCGGGAAGGACCGCTGGTACAGGACCGGGTGAGTAAGGCCAAGAACCACACCGGCCAGCTGGAGCTTCGACCCAGAATTCCTCTGGGCAGAGTGTGACACAGCAAAGCAGCTTTAAATTAACGCTGAGCTGTGCAGCAAACCTGGGTACTTCACGCTAACGCCATGCATCCCTCCCAACACAGGGACATCGCGAGCATGGACCAGTTCGGGTACTGCCGCATCGAGGGCCGCATGAAGGACATGATCATCCGTGGTGGGGAGAACATCTACCCAGCTGAAATCGAACAGTTTCTGCATAAACACCCCAAAGTGCAGGAGGCACAGGTGAGATGTGTGCCCTGGGGAGTGGGTTAGCATGTTTACATGGAAGATGCTGGGAGCAGCCAATCCAGAAGCAGGTGAGAGAGGCCCCGTCACATGGTCGATGATGTCACTGATGTGGGGGGGTAGGTGGTCGGGGTGAAGGATGAAAGGATGGGAGAAGAGGTGTGTGCATGCATCAAGCTGAAGGAAGGAGAGGACTGTACCCCAGAAGACATCAAAGCCTACTGCAAGGGTCAGGTGAGAGTACCCACAATGCACCTGGTCTTCAATGAGGATTATTCATTATCACCTGTTACGCTGGTGTGAGGTTCTGTAAAGGGAGATATTTATTGGCTTGTACGTTTTTGCCATGTGAGAATACTATGCTTTCGTAGCATGTAAATGTAAATTGATTTACTGTTTTTTATCTCGTCAGATTGCCCATTTTAAGATCCCCCGCTATATAGTGTTTGTTCAGGAATATCCAGTCACAGTCACAGGAAAGGTATGACCGTTTTACCCAAATAAGTATTACAATAATAATAGAGTTGTTGCCGTCGGGGATGCCCGGCCATTTTCAGCACTGCACAGGAGGACATATCGCCCTTCTCTGCTTCCTCTTTCAGATTCAGAAGAACAAACTGCGTGCGCAGATGGAGAAGAAGCTGGAGCTGTAAGGCGGGCGGCGAGTCTGAGAGAGAGGTGACTACAGGAGGTGGAGCAGCGGTGCCTCTCGCGCTCTCTGCAGCTCTGCGTTACGGCAGACGGGGGACGCAGGATCCCCGGAGGGCGCCAAGCCTGCATGCGGAGGGGCGTCCTCAGCCATCATTATATTACAGTACTGTTTAGGCACAGAAAATTACCTCTATAGCTGTGAAAGATTTTATGTGAATATAGTAATGATTCTTGTATTTCATACTACGCACACGTACACATTTTTCATGTTACTGACTCCTGCGCCAGAATACTCAAACTTGTTACTTCGGAATTGTTTTTAAAAATTAACAAATTATTTAAACCAATAGATCATGTTTTGATTATTAAAACCAAGATGACCAGTAGCTTTTAAATGTTGTTCAAATTCACTCAGATTCTAGTTTTTATGTTCCATTGTCTCCCCCTGTGGTAATCTGTGGTAATGCATCATTCCTGTCTCATTGCCCGGTTATGGAACCATGTAGTCATGTACGTTACACCTTTATGTTGATAGTTGCTCTGTACATCATGCCAAAGGATAAAGAATGAAATGCTTTTTTTGACAGATATTTTTCTAGTTTTCAAACAAACATACCTCTTGGCTTAATACTGCCTTTGTATTATTATTATGTTGTATGAGAATAACTAATAAAACACTTAATCAATTTAAAAACTTTCAAAGACTACTCGGATTAGTCATTATCAAAATCTTGAAAGTGGGTAGGCCCACAAAAATGAAAGATCACTGCTGTCAGAAAACCTGACAATAAAATCCAGGCTACTTCCCTGCTTTTTAAATATCTTTATTATCATATTTTTTAACAGCTTAAACAACCGATTCTACATAATACAAGATCTTAAACCATATACTTTACATTATAAACGCCTCTGGATGCATGCCATAGAGTATTTGACGTAGACTTCTTGGTATTTACAAATGGCTTGGACAGAGTGACAGTATTTACAAGCTATAAGCCGAAGGAGCGGCACTACATGGTACGAGAGCCATGTGAACATATTAATTCGAACTGAAATGTTGTTGCGCGACACCGTACGTGACTGAAATGCACCAGGAAATATTGCCAAACAATCCAGTTCAGGTGGGGAAAAAACAAGTGTGTGGAATATGTCAACATCTGCCTTCTGATTTCCCAAAAAACAAATGAACCCATATCTCCATGATTGTATACTGGTCGCAAAGTGCGTCTGTAATTATCTGGTTCTATGAACTATATGTGTAGCATTTGTGGCGCCATAATCCAAAACATTTCTGAAATGTCAGTTTTCCTGTAACACAACTACGAATTCACAAAATTGTGAAATGCCTTGTAGCAAAGGCCTTTAGGATACACAGACTGTACTAGAACATGCACCAGGTCCCCACTCTCACAGTTCACTTTGTTTCTTCTCACACTGTCCTATCCATCAAACTAGAGATTTCAACAGCTGTTACTCCTTGTTTAACATTAGGGGGGGGAGGGGGTGGGACAAAAGCCAAGTGAGCCCCTCTGTGTTAATTAAGGAATGTGAAAAATGCAGGAACAAAACCCAAACAGGAAGCACCAAAAACTGAAACCAGCTGAACGAAAGAGGCACGTAACACATGGGAAGCCAACAATCGTACGATGAAGACGACCCCGCCGGCTCACTACATACTGACGTGATCGCCGTCGCTGCACGGACACGAACTCCGAATTTCAGACACCAAACCGTTACCGCAGCGTGGGCGCGAGGAATCGCTCCATCACCACCGCCTGGTCCTACTTCATCACCCGTAAATACTGGTGTACAAGACCGGGAAGGGACCAGAAGATGAACAGACGAAAAAGCAAACAAAAAAAGGATCGTTTGGACCTTTGCCGGTTATTACACGTCATAGCCCTGTGCCAACCTGACCTGTGCCCACTGTGTTTTAGTTACTCCTTCTCACTGACTGGTCCAATAGAGTCTGTGGCACAACCACAAGCCCTGTTAGAAAGCCCATTCCATTTATATCAGACAGCCAGACGTGCAAAGTGTGCACAAACACACACACAAAAAAACAAAAATACACTATATACTACATATGCTAATGGGAAAAAAATATATATAATTAATTTATTTTTAATACTGTAAAAAACAGCCATAAATGTGCCATAAATAAGAAAGTGAGGCAATGTGGTCAAAGAGGATCTTTTTACAGGATTATGTTTTCAGCGGCTTTCTCTGAAAAGAAGGATATCAGTGCAGACTGAAGTCCTCAAAGATACTCACAGGCTTTGCCAAGCATACAGGCTTAGTGAGACGTGGGCTCAACCCAGGTGTGTACATAGGAAGGCCGTGACGAGCACTGCTAGTCCCCTCTGGTTTTTAAACACAGAAATACACACAAACGTGGGCACACACACACACACACAGCCCTCTCTCTCCCACCATCTCCTCTGGGGGTCAGACGCTGAGCGGCAGAAGCCCAGGGGGGGACGAGGTCCTCGGGGCGGAGGTGATGGCAGTCAGGGACCCAGAGTCCAGCCCGTTCACCGTCCTGGATCAAAAGAGAGACGCTAAACACACTGAAGTCGGGCACCTCGAAAGACACCTACTGCAGGACCCTTAAAGGACCCCTGACTGGAATGGACTCACTCACGCTTTGTCGAAGTAGGTGGTATGGAGCGAATGGGAGAACTTGGTGGCGTTGCTGTTGAATAGGCTGCCGTTGCCGGTGCCGTACGCCTTCCGCGCCGCTTGGTCCTTGGTGAAGTTCCTGTAAGCGGCCAGCTTGGACTCCAGGGCCTGTGGCACAGGAGGGCGTGGCTTAACGGCCATGTGAGAGGGCGTGGCTTAACGGCCATGTGAGAGGGCGTGGCTTAACGGCCATGCGAGAGGCCGTGGCTTAACGGCCATGTGAGAGGGCCCAGGAGGAACGAGGCTCACCCAGGCCTGGGGAATCAACTCCACCCTCTCCCCTGTGGACACTTACCCCCACTTTCCTCAGGAGGTCACTGACGATATTGAGGGCGGAGATCCGTGCCGACGGTGTCAGTGGGGAGTTGCTGAAGCCGTTGGAGAGCGCTGGGGAGCCAAGTGAGAATTAGCCGTGACTGAGGACGGGCAGGGTGACAAACAATACCGGTGACAGCCCTTAGTGCACGAGCGCATTTCGATTTCTCAATACGTGACGATTATGTAAAATATACGGCTGATAGCAACTCCAGAGGCACATTTCCACCACACCTGGTACCGTACTTATGGAAATTCGGTAAAGTACCAAAAGTACGCTACTTCAAGGTGTTGGCTTTCCACTGGCGCAAAAACTGGTACCAGCACCGAATGACATCACCGGATGAGGAGGAGTATTTGGTATTGACTTCGAAAGATGGCTGTAGTATATAATAGGGTTGGACGACATGCGATATTAAATACCAATAACGCATGTTATGCACATACAATTCTTACATCTATACTATGTTTAAAAATCAGTTTAAAATTCAACTCCGCTGCTTTCGCATAAGCGCTGCATGTGATCGGAGACAATCATAATCATTTTCATCCTTGCTGTTTAAATCACTCCTAGACGGGTTCATGTGAAATTTAATAACTCCTTTTTGCTTTATAAATTCCCCAGTATTTATTACAACAAAATCACATTGTTCACATTGCCAGGACAACACACTATATGCTATATGCTATATGCTATATGTGTGTTGTCGTAGAATATTACACAATAGTTTTTATTTTTTTTGTCAGGCAATTCTGATCTTTTTGTTGTATTTTTTCTACAGACCAGATTGTTATTATTATTATTATTATTATTATTATTTACTTCATTAATCCTTGTTTTCTGAGTTCGTAACCATTTTCAAGGCCGCGTTTGCGTAACCAATTGACATAGAAAGTGTTTAAAGTCCCACCCCAAAGTACGAAAGTACCAAAGTACCACCCCAGCTGGTTAGGAACTGGAACATTTGGTACTGGTACTCGACCGGAAATCAATAGAAAAAGGAAAGTACTAAAAGTACCGTACATGGTGTGGTGGAAAAGCACCATAGGTTTAAGACTTAATGAAACAAGTTTAGTTGAAGCCCCAATTTAGTGGAGGCCCCTGGGATTCAGTCTGGGTAAACCCATGCATTAAAAGGTCCCTGGTTACCATGGCTACCGAGCAAGTGCCAAGTGTGTGAGTTTTACCATCATTCTGAGGACAAATTTCAGAAAATCTGTCCAAAAAAATCACCAGTTTCTTCTGCTGGGTAGAAAGCATTAATCACATTACAATAGAAAAAAAAATGTTTGAAACATTAGTATAGAAGATACAAAAGAACAAATGAGGAAGGAGGAGAAGTCTGCAGTGGAGATATCATAACAGAAAAAGAGAGAGAGATGTAAACAAATGGAGAATCACCTTTAGAGCTGGCGAAGGCATTTTCGATGTTCTTGCCCACGGGCGTGGCTGGCAGCGACAGGGACGCCTGTACGGCGGAGTCCATCTTATCGATGTCCAGGGTGGGCGAGCTGGGCGCAGACATCCTGGTGACGTCTGTGTTCCTCTCCCGCACGGCGAGCTCCTGTCGCAGGTCTGAGGGAGGAGAGACACATGGTGTCTGGTGACCCCTCCTCGAGCTCACTACAAACACCCCACTGACCCAGTAATGCTGTTGGCTCCCGCCAACCACACATGCTCTTCCCCATATGCTCCACAAGCAGACACCTCCATGTCCTGCACCCACGTGTGTGAGATCTCTCTCCCCCTAATCGTCACGCATTAATGAAACCTGAGAAGTTTCAACGCTGATCCCCAGATATTGTGGATACTGGCCTGAGTGAACACCAGAGTCTGCACACTGCTCTGATCTCATTTCTGGAGAAAAGATCTGGAGACACTTCGCTGTATGAAGTGAAACACCTTAACCCTAATCCTAACCCTAACCCTAACCCAAACCCAAACCCAAACCCTAACCCTAATCCAAACCCTAATCCTAGCTCTACCCCTAATAAAACCGTAAACTTTACCCTAACCCATCCCTACTATGAGTAGTAACCTTAAGTCTAGCTCAAACTATGACTTTGAAGGACAGCACAATGTCTTTCACAGAAAGGCTTCTACTGGGGTTGGGGTTTAGAAAGAAGGAGAATCGAGCTGGTACCTCTGGCTTCATCCTTCAACCTCTGCACTGACACCAGGAGGGACTCCTTCTCGTCAAGCTCACTCTCCAGAAACGCGTTCCTCTCGATGGCCTGGTTCAGGCGCTGCTCAAAGTCTTCGAGGGACACGATCGTTGCCCTGTGGGGGGGGGGCAGATAGAATGTAAGAAGGTCTCTGCTCTGTAACTTCAACTCACTACCAGTCTAAAGTTAACATCCTACATTTGAACATTTTTGGTCACAGGAAATATCTTGTCAGAATTATCCGAAAGGGGACGAGAACAGTCAGCTATATGGAATCACTTGATTTGGGATGAAATCAAAGGAAACATCAAGGCTAGACTGGCAACGAAGACAGTTTTGCAGGTCCCCACAAAGTTATGTGAATACAAATAGTCTCAAAAGGTTAGGGCTGGACAGGGGTTAAGGTCGTCATGTTGTGATTAGAGTTTTCCCCACAGAAATGAATGGAGAGTCCCCACCATGATATATTTACAAACCTGTGCGTGTGTATGTGTGTGTGTGTGTGTGTGTGTGTGTGTGTGTGTGTGTGTGAAC